TCTTCACCCTTCTCTTTCTCTTTGGATGCAGCACCCACTTCCTTTCCCTTGGATGCTTTCACCTTTGGATCACCCTTATGTTAGATACGCTGTAAAAGCTTGGCTTTCAGATATAAATAATTCCATTTTGATCTGAAAATCGTGTTTTAGTTAAAGTAATTATGTTTGCACTTTATTTATTTATGCCATCATAACTCTTTTATTTTACATTGTAGATAATATATTTTGCCGTGTCATACAGAAAGAGCATATTATCGATTCTATGTAAAATATAAATTAATTGCTCACAGTCTAGACAGACAATGAGACCCCTGTTGTATAGGATTGTAGTGTAGTCATGATTCAGTTGGTCTTTGATTGATAGGTTAAACCAGTAGTTATGATAAGTATTGAACGGACTGCAGAAGATAAGATTATAAAGATTTACTGATCGTTGTTATCATCTAGACCCTAAGTAATTGATGCGTACTCTTAAACTGTAAGATAATATAAAATGTGCATATATTTTCATTACTTATTTATTTGATTTACCAAGGGTGATTCCTATTATATTAGGATGATATACTCGGTATTTTGGTAAGTAAGAGTGTTTATATGATGTGGCGTTATAAATTATTTACAGCCACTATGTCCCTGTGCCCTTAGTTGATGACGTCCCCGAAATGAGATCAGGAATGAATATTATGTCAAACCCCGCATGTAGATAACTATCCGACACAATGACGTCCCCGAAGTCGATTTAATTTTATTGTCAGTAGTATCGACTAGCGTTATATCTTAAACATAGGGTTGATTAAATTAATAATTATTAATCTTTTGGAGGTTCGAATTTATTGAATAAACTGAAGCTAAATGGGGAGAGCAATAATATTGCTCTCGTGGGATGTTTTATTATTTAATTCTATTTAGAAAATTAGGAATTAATTATACCATATTTTAGATTTAGGAGAAGAATATTCCTTCTAGAATATTACGGGTAAGGAGACTATGAAGTGTTCTAGAAGGTAATTAAGGTTACGGGGAATAGGACTTCTAGATTAGAAACGATAAGGAGCATAATTAGGATCCTAAGCCTGATGGGATAAGCCCATATTAAGCGTCTCTTTATGGTCCCTAATGTAGCCTAAATTTACCATGTCCCAACCTCTTCCCCTACACATGTGAGAAATCGATTTTAAGGTTCCATAGCAAGAGAAAAATAGTGATCTTCATATATTCAAGAGTTCGAGAGATTCGATTAATTGCACCACCAAGATTAATCAAAGGAGGTATTTAGGTAATACATTAGAAGGCTTTAAGATACAATTTATTCGAGCCTTTTAATTCTGAGTTTCCAGCCACCCACGACAGCCGTCTGCTGCTGTAGACCACCGCTGAAAATCGTCGCTATCGGAAACAGTCGGCGCCCAGCCAGCACGCAGCCGCAAGCCAAAGCCAGTAGCTGCACACCAGCCAGACGCCGGCGCCATTTCCCTGCGAAGACCACTAGCACCCACGCGAGCCACCAGCCACGCCTCCCTGCTAGGGCACCGTCTCTGTCCGTGTTCTTTGCGCACCACTCCCAGAGCGAGAAGAACGCACGTCTTAGTCCGCACACGACAAATAGACGTGAAGCGTACGCCCGCATGCTCCTAGATGCCAGCGCCAGTCTGTGTTGGCATGGGAGACCCGAAATCCCTGCGTGTCACCTGCGCCCGTCCGCCTGTCTGCGCGTTCTGTCCAGTGCCCGGCGTGCACCCGATCTCTTTTTAGTGCCCGTTTGCAAATAGCCCGACCTGCCAGATGCCCAACCCTCACCCGCAGAGACCCGAACCAAGGCCAATAGAGTCAAGCTGCGACCCGACCGATCCCAATCGTGTCCAACCAGCCTGAACCCGACAAGTCCTTGACTCGGTGATCCGTTCGTGACCTGATGACCCGATTCTGATAAAGAAGGACTAGTCTGGCTGCCCAACGGACACTACGGTTCAGACGGTTTCTTACAGAGAAAATCAGAAATGTCTGAGAGTCGGCAACAATTTTAAACGGTAATGTCCTAACCCTAACTATAGATTCTGTTGCATTAGGGTTTATTTCAACTAATTCAACGTGCATGTTGTTGACGTTCCTAATAGAACCCAACAACTGGTATCAGAACCCAAGCTTAATTTAACTTCGTCCACTGTTTGAATTTTGACTTACCTGTTTTTGTGAATTAATTGTGTACGGACGCGACACATAGTAGATTAGAAATTGCAATAAGTTGTTTGCAGGTGATTTTGAATCTGACTATTATGGCCCGTATGTATGGTTTTAGTTCATGAATGTTGATTTATAAGCCTCGGACATGTCGAGGAGTTTTTGGGTTGGTGAATGCTTGTAATAATTTTTTTTGCGCGGTGGGACATCCCCATAGTTTACTGCTTTCATAGAAAACTCATGCACGACTCCTGCGAGGGTCAAAGGATGAATTATGTAATTTTTTTATATTATTCATTATTGATCTGGAGGACGTGAACCAAACCTAGGCAAGGAGAGAAACATGCGGACCAAATCCAATGATTGTGACCCAATGCGGGATTCCCGGAGACAACTTGTTCAAGACAAGAAGTGGGATTGATGGTGAAAAAGGATGTCCAACTCTCGAAAAGGAAGACGTAGTTCGACAAGGATAGGGATTGTGTTTCTCTGAAAAGCTTGGAGATTGATTGAATGTCCATGATAGTTGGATTATTTATTCCTCGTTTATTATTGTCGTTTAATCATGCATGTGTGTCCTTATGTAATTTAATTGCTTTATGTGCAAATTAAATTATTAGGAGCATGTGTAAAAAAAATTCTTAATTTATTATATTAAGTGTGAATAGATTGAATAAATTGTATCCAAGGTCTCCATTATAGGTTTGTCAATGAAGAAATTTAAATCAAGCCCAAGGACATATTATTTCACATCTCATAAGTATGAATCTCCCACGGGATGGTTATACTGAACTATTTCAAAAGCGTACGGATCACCCAAAGGTTGATGTATAATTTTGGTACTAAACTTACGACACATTTTTGGGTTACACTTAAAGTGCAAATATTACAATATACCCAAGAAAAAAGGTTGTTCTTATTTTGCGCTGGCCAAAAGGTGGACTGACTATTAATTGAGTATTGTTGGGGTGGTATGTTAATTAATGGGATTAATCCCTCCTCTAATAACGGTTTGAACCATGTCCACACTTCGTGGCCTGCGGGGATTCGGTGTTTTTAGGTGTCAGTAAATTTATTTGAATATTGTTTTGAAGGGATCAATTATAGATGTTAAATTCGAAACACTTGACTGAGTAAAACTATGCTTGCATGATCCCCAATTCAAAATGTCTTTCAATCTGTTGTCCGTAATTCTCAAAGAAAACAAACTTGTTGGTCCCAATTATATTGACTGGAAAAAGAACTTGGATATTGTGTTAACTGTTGAGGGGTATAAATTTGCTTCTACTGAGTATTGTCCGGAATAGCCGGGAGAGGGCACAACAGATCAGGAGAACGAAGAGTATGCTAAGTGGAAAAAGGTTGATGAGATGGTGAAGTGTTACATCTTGGCATCTTAGTCAATGCAGGCATTTCATTTTGATTATAACTATGTCATATGAAAAATCTATTTATTCGTATTGTGCAATTTGTAAAAATTTACAAGTAGCACCAAATATTAGACCAAGAAAGGAAAAACCCTATTGATGTCATCTTTTTTTTGAAAATGTTATCGACGTCAAACTGGGAAATCACATCAAATATGATGCAAAAATAAGCATAATGATTTATTTATTTATTTATTTATTTTTTGTAAAAGCTCGTCAAGCACAACTTCCGTGAATATTTGAAGAAAAAATATTATGTGGTTTTTAGGAAAATGAGTTTCTAAAATTCTAACCCACTCTACTATTATATTCTAGATTTGTCCCTGTATAGAGGTATCTCCTAATGAAAAACTCATAAAAATACCTATAAAAAGGTGTGTTTTTGTATTATATTATACTATAGCCCACTCAATTTAACATACAATAAAAATAAACTAGGCCCGATCCAATTTAAATGGGCATGCTTAGCTTATTATTTGATTGCATAAAAAGAAGACAGAAGTCCATAACAATTATTTTGGAGTGACAACGTGTAAATATAACTCCTTAATTGTAATAAAAGGCAAATACTTTGCCAATTCATTTTTACAGACATAACCATGCAAGCATTCTTGGTTCTGGAGGATCGACCTCTTATGAACTCTTGTTAGTCGGATTGTATTTTTCATGCAAACAAACAAAATAAAAAAAAAAATAATCATAAAACAAATATATTTAAATAAAAAAAGATGAATGGTATATATATATATATATATATATATACATGTGTGTGTGATTGTGTATACCAGGGACATTTCCATGGATGATTTTATTCTCTTCTTCCTTGGAAGAAAATCATTCCCTCCGTAGTCTACTATGTACCCTATTTCATCCGACCTTTGCGCGTATCCTCCCCGAGGTGAAGAAGACTTAGTCTCCCTACTCATTTTGTACCAAAATTTATTGTTACAACATTCATGATTTATGATATATTCATTTGATGCTCTTGAAAGTTGCATGCAATACACAAAAATCATCAATGGCTAGCTATGTATGAAAGTTCCATGCAAGCCCACAAATGAAGAAGTCTTCAATGGATGCCTTCCCAAACTTCTTCTTTCACACACCATGTGTCAACAACGGTGTGCTTAATTGTATCTATAAATAGGTTTCATATTTTATTCATTTGAATCATTCTACAGTGTGATCAATCAATCTTGAGAGTGTTGAAACACAACCAAGTAGAATTGTGCACAGTTTAAGAGTTTTTTTTAGAGTTTGTAAATCTCTTGTCTTTATTCTTGTAAGTAATAGAAACTTCCATGCAATCCGTTTTTTCCTACGCGCCGCTAACGAGCCCCTCTTTGAAAAACAAATGGGTATCCAAGCTGAAGAAGGATGCAAATGGACAACTAGTTAAACACAAAGCTCGATTGGTTGTCAAAGGCTTTCAGCAGAAGAAAGGGATTAATTTTGACGAGATCTTTGCACCAGTTGTCAAGATGACCTCAAATCAAGTCATACTTGGCTTGGCAACAAGTATGAATTTGGAACTTGAACAAATAGATGTGAAGACAGCTCTTCTTTGTGGAGATTTGAAAGCAGAAATCTATATGCAACAGCCAGAAGGATTTGAGGTTTCAAGTCAGAACCTCGTGTGCAAGCTATCTAAAAGCTTGTATGGTTTGAAACAAGCACCAAGGCAGTTGAATAAGAAGTTTGACTCATTCATGCAGAGTCAAGGTTACAAGAAGACTACTGCAGATAAGTGTGTTTACATCAAGAAATACTCAAACAGGGCTTTCATAGTTCATCTATTGTACGTCGATGTCATGTTGATCGTTTTGAACGATCCCAGAAAAGATAAGTCAACTAAAGAAAGAACTTCCAACTCTTTTGATATGAAAGATTTAGGAAAGGCTCAACAGATTCTTGGGATGCAAATTACTCGAGACCAAGATAAAGACAAGTTATGGCTATCTCAAGAGAAGTACATTGAACGAGTACTTGAAAGATTCAATATGAGTGATGCCAAACCAGTGTGTATTCCATTGGCGAATAATTTCAAGTGGAACAAAAGATCATGTCCCACATCCAAGGAAGAGATAGGGGAGATGTCTGCAGTACCATACTCTTCAGCAGTTGGATGTCTGATGTATGCAATGGTATTTACAAGGCCATATATTGCTCATGCAGTGGGTGTAGTGTGTCGTTTTCTTTCTAACCCCAGGAAGGAGCATTGGGAGGCAGTCAAATGAATTCTGAAGACTTGAAGAGTACTTCTAAGTTATGTTTTTGTTACAGGGGAGCTGATCCAATCTTGGAAGGATATACTGTAACAGCCCAGCATCTACCCGTAGTGTGATATTGTCCGCTTCGGGTATACACCAGATCATTCCCTCACGGTTTTTCTTTTGGGAGCGCTACTCACCAAAACGCGTCACACTAGTGAAGGTATCTACAGCCACTTATATGGCATGCTTCGTTCCCCTTCACGACCGATGTGGGATACCTGATCCACCCCCCTTGGGGGCCCAGCGTCCTCGCTGGCACACCTGCCCGGTACTGGCTCTGATACCATTTGTAACAGCCCAGCATCTACCCGTAGTGTGATATTGTCCGCTTCGGGTATACACCAGATCATTCCCTCACGGTTTTTCTTTTGGGAGCGCTACTCACCAAAACGCGTCACACTAGTGAAGGTATCCACAGCCACTTATATGGCATGCTTCGTTCCCCTTCACGACCGATGTGGGATATCTGATTTATTGTAATATCCCAACTTTCTCAGTATAATAATATTTCAGTTCCGATATTATTTTTCGGAATTAATTAATTTCAGTTATTTCAGTCAGAATTACCGGAACTATTTTCGACGTACCGTTCACGTTCGGAATAATTTTGGTAAATTAGCATTATGTTTAATTAGATAATTAAACATAATTAAGTGATTAACTTATCTTAATCACGAGTTTAGCCTTGGGTTCGGATTTAGTTTCCAAGCCCTAGTTCATTGCCGTGCACGTTGCTAAGTCCGTGCGTGTGTGTTCATGTAATGCCGTGCCCGTGTCCGTGCGTGTAGTTTATGCGGGTGCCGTGCGCGCGCGTTCGTCCGAGGATCCGCGCCCAATGCAAGTGGGCGGAGAGTTCAATGTCGTGCGGATGGAAGTGGGCGGAGAGTCCGAAGGTTTGTGGAGGGCCGTGCGCCATCTTGTCTCTTTGCCATGATGTCCGTGCGCTCCATTGTCCTCTAGCCGGCGGAGTGTCCAAGACCGCGCGCCATCCCGTGTATGCATGGGCGGAGTGCCCAAGGCCGCGCAAC